GATATATATATATATGCAAAGCATATTATTCTTTTTGTCAGAATGTGGAGAGACAACTTACAGATCATAATTCTCCCAGAATACAATAAGACAAAAAAAACCTAACCACCATAATGCAAGAAACAATACCTGAAAACTGCCCAGAACTTTTGAATACAGAAAACAAATTGCCAACTGAAAAAACCTACAGATTGCTTCCAAGAAAACAAGAGAAAACAGAATCAAACCAAACAGCTATCATGCAACTCTCAAGACATAGAGTGATTAAATTGAATAATTCAAATGACAAATTCTACAAGCAACCAAGAAAAGGACATTCAGATATAAAGGAAAGGAAATTCAAATAGCAAAGGTACCAATTGAAAATCACAGAGTGGAATAGTGTTTCAAAGAGCAAAGGAACGGAGGATGCAACCCAGAGTGATACATGCTGCAAACTTGAGCCTTCATGTCAATGCAAAAAGAAAGACATTCTATAACAGTCATTTCTAACATTCCTACCAAAAAAAATGAGCAGATTATTTACTTTACAAATACTTAGGACCATAAAACATAAGAAAGATAAATAAATACACAAATAATAAGCACAAATGCAGGATTTGTGTATGGGAAAACACAAATAAAATAAATTACCTTCTAGAGATTTTTAAAAGGGGAAGAAATTTAGAAAGAGCAAAACAACTATGGGTTAAAAAAAAAAGCAAGAAACACTGAAAGGACCATTGAGAAGATTTTTGCTTTTTGTTTTTTTGTTTTTCTAAAAATATATAAGATCAAAGCTGAATTTGAATAAAAGTGAGAAACAAGCCTGAAATGTTATCATCAGAAGAAGAATTTAAAACTACTAATAACTGCATGACCTCACTACAAGTGCATCAATGTATTTTGTGGTACTAAACTGTAGAATGGGAGAGCACATAAAATGGTAAAGGTGAGATAGAAGACAGAGGGAAACATGTGATATACCCTAATCAAGTCAATAATAAAAAATGAAGAAAAGAAAATAAGAATACATCTTCTTAAGATAGTTGCAAAAGGTGTATGATCTCTTCTAATTGTTTTTGGCATAATCTTTAATATTAATGTCATATATCCATTTTGAATTTATTGGGGAATATGGTATAAGATGTTGGTCTAAACCTAACTTTTGCCAGACTGCTTTGTGGTTTTCCCAGAATTTTTTTTTGTCAAGTATGGAGTTCTTTCCTAAATAACTTATGTTTTCAGGTTTATTGAACATTGAGTTATTGAGTTCCACTGATTCTGATTCTCCCTTGTCCTAGCCTGTTTTCTCAATGTGCTTCTCAATCTCTTACCCAATACCACATGGTTATGATGGCTACTGCTTTATAATATAGTTTGAGTCCAGGAAGTCCCTTCTTTTATTTAATAAAATTAAATAAAGTTATTTCTCTCAGACTTATGACTAAAATGTGAAGTAGAGTATATTTTTCTTAAAAATAAATGTAAGGTGAGCTCTGACCTTGGAGTCAGGAGGACCTGAGTTCAAATCCAGCCTCAGATACTTCACACTTACTAGCTGTGTGACCTTGGGCAAGTCACTTAACTCGGACTGCCTCACCAAAAAGCAAAAAAAAAAAAAAAAAAAGTAAGGGAAAGCCCCAGAGCTACCTTAATTTCCATTTCTCCTATTTTTGGAGCAGTCTTTCTTATGGTTATTGAACATTTATGTTTCTTCTTCTGACAACACTTATTTATAATTCTTTGAGCACTCATCTATTAGAAAATGGCTCTTGGTTTGATATATTTTGGATATCATACTTTTACCATAGACCACAGCACTAGAATGGACATCAGCTGCCATCTAGCCTATCCCATTTCACAGATGAAGACACTGAGACCCAGAGAGACTTAATAATTTGTTTGAGATATGGGATGCAAAGATTTTTTTCCCTAATAATTTCTCTCTGTGTTAGTTTTGGTCATGCAAAAGCTTTAAAGTTTTATGTAGTTGACATTGCTAATTTTTTCTTTTTATGATTACCTCTGTCCCTTTTTGGTTAAGAATTCTTCCTCTCTATTCACAGTCATAGTTGTGAATGGTTTCTCCTTTCATTACACTATAATTTTATATGACCTTTTATATTTAAGTCACCTATTCATTTGAAACTTAACTGTGTTATATAGTATAAGTTGCTAATCTAAACCTAATCTCTTCCCATCTGTTTTCCAGTCTTCTTAGCAGTTCTTTTTTTTTAAAAAAAAAAAACAACTCTTCCCCCAGGGGTTTGTATTCTTGTGTTTATCAAATGCTGGACTACCATTCTAAAGAAAGGGTTGTTTTGATTAAGTCATGGAAGATGAATTTTGATAAACAGGGATAGTGATTGGGGAAGAAGATTGGCATGAGCAAAGTCTCAGAGGTGGGAAAGTGTGTAATAAATTTGGGGTACTGTCAGTAATTTAGTTTGGCCAGAGCAGAACATATATATATGTATAATGGGGTAGTATAACCACTACTGTCCCCCCAAATCTATACATACCTTTTGACCCAGGGGCCACTGGGTACCACAAAAAGATCAAAGAGAGAACTCACTCATACATATAAAATTTCTATAGTAGAACTTTTAACTGTAGCAAAGAACCAAAAGCAAAGTGGGCACCCATGAAGTGGGAAGTAGTAAACCAACACAGTTGAAGAAGTTGTCAGGGTTTCATATACAATCCTCTTTTTCAATTTTCTTTTGTTTATGAAAATGCTTGTGTTTGTCAATGTTTGCTAAGAATTACAACAACAACAACAAAAATTCTTCTTAAATCTGAGGTTCTGCCTCATACCCATCATTTTGCAAAAATGACAAAAAGCAGAAAATGACAATTATTGGAGGGCTTGTAGAAAGACAGGAACTTCGATAGAGACGTAAACTGGTTCAACCATTCTGGAAAACAATTTGGAACTATACCTCCCAAATCACTAAACTACACATGTTTTTTGACCAAGTAATGCCACTGCTAGTACCACAAAGAGATGAACGAAAGAGGGAAATCACCCATACAAATAAAATTTTTGTAGTAAAACTCTTCATTGAAGCAAAACCCTGGAAGCAAAGTGGGTACCCACCAAATGGGAAATGATTGGACAAATTGTGGTATATAAATGCAGCAAAATATGTTGGAAGAAATGTCAAAAGGGATGGATCCAGAAGAACTTGGGAAGACTGATGTGAATTAATGCAGAAGTGAAATGAGAAGAACCATATCTAGCACAGTGGTTAATAGGCTCCACTCTGCTGAGACCACAGGGGCTGGTGACCTGCCCCAATCCCTGTCTTTTACCTGCCTTTGAGGTCTGCCCATTCATTGGCTCCTCATCCCCATCTCAGCTTCCTGGAGAAAGTTGCTAATAACAGAATATTGCCTTTGACCTCTAGTCTAGGATTTCCCCAAAGAAGGGAGAAAGTAAGAAAGGTAATCAATATACAAACGTGAATCAGATATGGAATGGATAGTTTATTTCCACACAAAAAAATGCAATAAGGAATCATAGAAATTCTGGAGTCAGTCAGTCAACTAGCATTTATTTTAGCAACTATTATATGCCAAGAACTACGCTAAGAACTGAGGATACAAAGAAAGGCAAATGATGGTCCCTGTTCTCAAGAAGCTTACAGTATAATTGGGGAGAGAAAATGCAAACCACTTCGTACAAGACATACACAGGATAATTTGGAAATAATCAACAGAGCTTCAGAAGGCACCAGTTTTAAGGGTGATCAGAAAAGCCTTCTTACAGAAGAGGGGGCTTTAGTTGAGGCTTAAAGGAAGCTAAGGAAGCTAGAGGAAGGAGAAAGAAAATTCTAGGCAGTGAAAATGCTTAGAGTCAGGAATGGAAAGTCAGTGAGAGGAATAACAAAGAGGCCAGTGTCACTGGATCCCAGAGTATGTTGGGGCTAGAGGAGGAAGTGGGGAAGAGTAAGGTATCAGGCTGGAAAAGTAGGAAGAGGAGAAGTTATAGAGGGCTTTATAAACAAAATAGAAGATTTTATTTTTGATCCTCGAGGCAAATAGGGAGCCATGGGAGTTGATTGAATGAGCAGGTGAGGTGACATGGTCAGACTTGCACTTTAAGATCAATTTGACAGTTGAGTGGAGTGAGTTGGGAGTTACTTCCTATCTCCTCAAGAGCTACTTTAAGGGAGACTCCATCCAGGAGCCATTTCTTCTCCCGGTAGGCTTGGCACTTCATGTCGTAGGCTCCAGCACAGCAACCAGAATGGGTGGGAAGACTCAAACCTGCAATGATGCTTACCTAACCAGAAGCAGGCAGATGATATCTGTGCATCTTGAAGTTGCCATATTTTCCCTCAAGAGAAGGCAAAGAACACCTGCACATGCCCCAAAGGGAAGAGTAGGCAGAACTGTTACATACAATAGCTACAACAATATAAAGAAAAACAAATTGGAAATACCCCAGAGCTCTGATCAAGGCAATAACCAGCTATGACTCCAGAGAACCAGTGATGAATCATGCTACCTACCCACTGGCTGGCAAAAAGGTGGAGGACTAAAGGAAGATGCGTATGTGTGACCAATGTGTGGATCCTATTTGCTTCTCTGGGAGTATTTAGTACAAAGGGTTTTTTTGTTTTATTTTGTTTTGTTTTTATGGGAACAAGGTGGGAATTTGGAAAGGAGAAGGGAATAGTGAAAATAGTGCTACCAAAAAAAGAAAAAGAAAAGAAGTCCATTATGGCATTTTTGAAATTGATTTTGAAAAAGTATAAAAATAGGGGTAGATTAAGGAGACAGAGATGCAGGACTTTTTTGGAACTAATGGATAGAATGTATTATATAATTTTTAAAAAGAAATTCAAGCTCTAAGTAATTGAGATATGGGGTTTCATATGTGATCTTCTTTTTTTTCCTATAAATGTTCATGTTTGTCAAGGTTAAGACTAAGAAAAAAAATAGGTAATTAGAAGACAAGTCAAGAACAATGAATGCCAAGCTAAGGAATTATTGTTCATCTCTTTTTCTAGATGAGGAAACCAAGACGCAGAGAAGTCAAGGGGTTTTATTCAAAGTCACACGAGAGGTAAGTATTAGAATCAGCACTCTGGTCCCTAATCAAGGGTACTTCCATTTTTAAAATTCAATGTTATTTTCAGTTCTGAATTCTCTCCTTCACCCACCCTCCCCGTATCAAATACAATAAGGTAAGAAAAACAAAACCCATTACAAATATGTATAGTCATGCAAAAAAAATTCCTGCATTACCCATGTCCAAAGAGAAAAAAAAAAGGAAGAAAGAAAGAGAAGAAAATACACTTCAATTTGCATTCTGAGTCTGTCCATTCTCTATCTGTAGGTAGATAACATATTTCATCATGCATGAATCCTTTGGAATTACTGTTTGCCATTGTGCTGATCAGAGTTTCTAAGTCTTTCAAAGTTGATTTTCTTCACTATGTTACTGTTATTGTATAGATTGTTCTCTTGCTTCTGCTCGCTTCACTTTGCATCAGCTCATGCAGCTCTTCCCAGGCTTTTCTGGAACCTTCTCCATTATTTTTTATAGCACAATAGTGTTCTATCCCATTTCATTCTTAAGGGATGTATGCCTTTTAACTGTGAGTGTCCCTTGGGGCTTTGTCCTCAGCTCTCTTCTCCCACTTTACTAATTTACTTGGTGACCTCATCAACTACCAGGGATTTAATGACCATCTCTATGCTGATAATTCTTAAATCTACTTATCCTGCCCCAAACTTTCTGCTGACCTCTAATCTCACATCTCCAAATGCCTTTCAGACATCTCAATCTGGATGTTTAGTAGACATCTTAAACTCAGTATGTCCAAAACAGAACCATTATCTTTCCTCTGAATCTTCTCCTGCTTCCTACCTTCCTTATTACCATAGAGGGCACCATTCTCCCAGTCCCTCAGGCTTGAAACCTAGGCATTATCCTCAACTCCTAATTGTCTCTTGCAGCCCCCCATCCCATATCCAATCTGTTGCCAAGATATATTGATTTCGCCTTTGCAGCTTACCTCCAATATGCCTCCTTCTCTCTTCTGATACTGCCACTACCCTGGTGCAGGCTCTCACCACCTCATGTATTATTACAATACCCTGCTGGGAAGTCAGCCTGCCTCAAGTCTCTCCCCAACCAATTCCACCCTTCAGCCATTAAAGCAATTTTCCTAAAGCTTGTCTAATCACATCACCTACCCACCCTCACTCAGTAAATTCCAGTGGCTTCCTGTTGTCTTCAGGAGCAAATACAAAATGCTTTGTTTGGCATTCAAAACCTTTCATAACCTGGCCCCTCCTACTTTTCCAGCTTTCTTACACCTTATTCCCCAACACATACTCTTCCATTCAGTGACACTGGCCTCCCAGCTGTTGCACAAATAAGATACTCCATCTCTCATTGAGGGCGTTTTATTTCACTGTCCCCATACCTGGAATGTTCTCCCTCCTCTGTCCTTTGCTCTGACTACTGGTTTCCCTGGCTTCCTTTAAGTCTACTAAAATCCCACCTTCTACAGGAAACCTTTCACAACTCCTCTTAATTCCAGTTTCTAACCTCTGTTAATTATCTATTTATCCTGTATATAACTTTCTTTGCATATATCTGTTTGCATGTTGTCTCCCCCACTTGAAGATAGGGACTGTCTTTTGCCTCTTTTTTATTTCCAGTGCTTAGCAATGCCTAGCATGTAGTAGGCACTTAATAAATGTTGATTGATTAACTGATATTCTGGACCTTTTGTCCATTTAGATGAATTTATAATTTTTTTTAGCTCTATAAAATAATTCTTTGGAGGTTTTATTATTATGGCACTGAATAAGTAAATTAATTTAGGTGGTATTGTTATTTCTATTACATTATCCTAGCCTATCTAAGAGCAATTACTGTATCTCCAATTATTTAGCTCTGTCTTTATTTGTGAGAAGAATGTCTTGTAATTGTATTCAAATAGCTAGTTCCTGTGTGTGTCTTGGTAGGTACACTTCTATTTTATGCTGTCCATAGTTATCTTAAATGGAGTTTCTCTTTTTTTCTCTTCCTGCTAGATTTTGATGTTAATATACAGAAATGCAGATGATCTGTGTGGGTTTATTTTTTCATCCTGCAACTAGGGTTCTCAAAACAAATCATTATATCACCTGCAAAAGTGATAATTTCGGTTCCTCTTTGTCTATCCTTATTCTTTCAATTTCTTTCTTTTTGTCTTAATACTGTAACTAGCATTTCAAATATAATATTGAATAGTAGTGGTAGAAATGGACATCCCCCTGATCTTATTAGAAATGTAGTTTATCTCCATTATAAATAATGCTTGCTCCTAGTTTCAGATAAGTATTACTTACCATTTTAAGGAAAGCTCCCTTTATTCCTATGGTTTCTAGTGTTTTGAACAGGAATGAGTATTTTATTTCATCAAAAACTTTTTCTGTATCTACTGAAATAATCTATGATTTTTGCTGGCTTTGTTATTAATATGTTGAATTATATTTATGGTTTTCCTAATATTGAATCAGTCTTGAATTCCTGGTGTAAATCCAACCTGGTCATAGTTGATGATCTTTGTGTATTTTATATATTAAAATTTTTGTATCAGTATTCATTAGGAAAATTGGTCTATTGTTTTCTTTGGCTGTTTTGACTTTCCTTGGTTTAGGTATCAAGACCATATCTGCATCATATCAGCAGTTTGGTTGGATCCCTTCTTTATCTGTTTTCTCACAATTTATGTAGTATTGGAATTAATTGTTCTTTAAATACTTGGTAGAATTCAGTTGTAAATCCATTGGGTCCTGGGGTTTTTCTCTTTGGGAGTTCATTTATGGATAGTTTAATTTCTTTTTCTAAAAGAGGGTTATTTAAGTATCTTATTTCCTGTTCAGTTAATCTGGAAAATTAATGTTTCTGTAAACATTCATGCATTTCATTTAGATTGTCAGATGTATTGGCATATAATTGAACAAAAGAGCCCCAAATAATTGCTTTTATTTCTTCTTCATTGGTTATGAATTCACCTTTTACATTTTTATACTAGTAATTTGGTTTTTTCTTTTTAAAATAAAATTAGCCAATGGCTTATCTATTCTGTTAATCTTTTTTTTTTCAAAAAAACAACTCAGTTTTATTTATTAATTCAGTGCTTTTTCTAACTTCCAGTTTTGTTAATTTCTCCTTCTATTTTGGTATGTAATTGGAAGGGGAGTTAATCTGTTGTTTTTCTAGTTTTTCTTTTTAATTACATGCCTAATTCATTGATCTGCCTTTTCTGTCTTTTATTGATGAAAGAGTTGAAAGATATAAAATTTCCCTTAGGTACTACTTTGGTTGCATCCCACAAATCTTGGCATGTTTTCTCATTGTTGTCATAATCTTTAATGAAATTATTATTTCTCTAATTTGTTCCTTGACCTACCCATTTTTAGGATCAAGTTATTTAATTTCCAATTAATTTTTAATCTTTGTTTCAAAGGTCCTTTATTGAATGTTATTTTTATTGCATTATGGTGAATAAAAGATATACTTAATGTGTCTACTTTTCTGTATTTATTTTGAGGATTTATGCCCTAATACATGGTCAGTTTTTGTGAAGATGCCACATACAGCTGAAACAATACATATATTCCTTTCTATCACAAATCAGTATTGTCCAGAAAGCTATCATATCTAACTTGTCTAAAATTCTATTCAGGTCCTTATCTTCTTTCTTATTTATTTTTTGGTTAGATTTCTTTAGGCCTAAGATAGGTAAATTGAGGTTCCCCCCTTATTGTACTTTTACTGTCTCTTTCTATAATTCATTTAGCTTTTCTTTAAGTATTTAGATGCTATGCTATTTGGTACATATATGTTTAATATTGCTATTGGTAGAAATATTCCTATGTCTCTGATTAAGCAGTTCATTAATAACCTGAGCCTTCTCCATGGTCATTTTTTCCCATTTGCCTTGAAATCTCTATGAGTCCACATCCTCCCACTCTTCTGAGTGACGGTTGCCTTTAGAGGCAATTCACTTTCCCTTGAGTCCCATGATCTCTTGTCAAATCAACGGCCTTTCTAAATCTGCATCTCTCTTTACCTCTCTGCAGTATTTGACACTGTTGATTACCCTCCTCCTGGTTCTCCTCCTGTCTGTCTGACTACTCCTTTTCTGTCTCATTTGCTGAACCTTCATCCATGTCTTACCTACTAACTGTGACTGTTCTCCAAGGCTCTGTCACGGGCCCTCTTCTGTTTTTCCTCCACACGTCATCACTTGGCTATCTCATCAGTTTTCATGAGTTCAACTATTGTGTTTCCGCAGTTGATTCCCAGATCTACAAACCTGCCATTTTGGTTACATAGCTAGTAAGTGACAGAACTGGGACTAGAACCCATACCTTTTGCTCATGTTCTTTCCACTCTATATGCTTTTCCTAAAGGTAACATGAATAATTATGGTTGTTAATATTACAGCTAATAAGAGCTCACATTTCTATGGCCTTTCAAGGTTTACAACATGCTTTTTTCCCCCCACAAGAACCCTGTGAGGAAATAATAATGGTAGCTAATATTTATTTTATGCTGTCAAGTTTACAAAGCACTTAACATAAATTATCTCATTTGCTCCTCACTACAACTCTGGGAGGTAGGTGCTATTATTATCCCCATTTTATAGTTGAAGAAACTGAGGCAAACAGAGGTTAAGTGACAAAGTTATACAACTAGTATGTATCTGAGGCTGGATTTGAAATGAGATCTTCCAGAGTCCAGTTCCAGTGATCTATCCACTGTGCCTCCTAGCTACCTTTAAAAAAAAAAGGATTGGGGCAGCTAGGTGGCGCAATGGATAGGTACCAGTCCTGAAGTCAGGAGGACCTGAGTTTAAATCCGGCCTCAGACCAAACACTTGACACTTACTAGCTGTGTGACCCTAGGCAAGTCACTTAACTCCATTGCCTAAAAATAAAATAAAATTAGAAAAAATAAAATTTAAGAAAAATAGAGATTGTTCCATTATTTGCCTTTGTATCCCTAGCATCTTAGATGCACAGTGCCTGATACATGTTTGGTGCTTAATGCTTGCTGATTGATTGGATATATAGCTATTAGCTGTGGGAACAGGGACCCAAACCCAAGTCTGCTAACCTCAAGGCCTCACGTCCATCCACTTCATGTTTCCTCATTGTCACTTCCCTTGCTCTGGTAACATTGGTTTCAGTGAGTTTTTTGCTTCATTTCTTCCTTGCTTTACTTCCTAGGAAACCTTTTGACAGGATGTCAGGATCAGGACTATATAAAGTAGATGATGGATGTCATTATCTCGCCAACTGCTTTCCAGCTAGAAGCATATTCAGGTCAAGAAATGAAGGTAATGTGAATTCCTTAACCATGGAAGATTCTAGGCTATGATGATTCCTTCTTCTCTCTGTCCTACCCCCATTGCCAGTGGGTCAACAAGCCCTTTCCCTCCCTTGTAGTTATGTTGTCACAAGGTTACCACAAGGACCAATCCTGGAATCTCCGAGTTTGAAGGAGACTTAGAGGACATTTAGTCCAATTTATACCTGAACAGGAATCCATTCTATAACCTTCCAAACAAGTAATCCACCTTTGCTTGAAGAGTTCCATTGGTAGAAGGCTAACTATCATTTAAGGCAGACTATTTCATTTTGAGGCAATTTTAATTGTTAGGTTTTTCCGCATATTGAGCCAGAAATTGCTCCCTTGCAGCTCCCACCCCCTAACATTAGCTCTATCCTCTTGAAGTCAACCCTAACAAATATAATTTATTTTCCAATGTAAATGTAAAAGGAACTATCTAGTACCAGTTCTTTTCTACAAAATTACCCATTAATCTTCCCTTCCTAGAGTGAAATTGTTTTCATACACTTCACATCTTGTATGCTCTCCTTTGGATAGGCTCTAACTTGTCAATGTCCTTCCTAAAATGTGGCCTCACAACTAAATAGGTTACTACAGATGGAGTCTGACCATGGGCAGAGATGTACAGGATTATTAGCTCCCTCTGTATTATGGGCATTATACTTCTCTTAATGCATCCTAAGATTGAATTTGTATTTTTGGCTACCATATCACACTATTGCTTCATATTAAACTTATAGTCCACTAACTTTACCAGATCTTCTTTCATATTATCTGTTTTACTTGTATAGTTGGTTTTCAAATATCAAATTAGACAAGGTATGTTTGGCATTTAAATGTATATGTATATTGGCATTTAAAGCTCTTCACCACTTGGCACCTTCCTACCTTTCCAGTCTTCTTACACTTTCTTCCCCTCCATAAACTATATAATCCATCTATACTGTTCTACTTACTGTTCCTCACACATGGCACTCCATCTTCTGTCTCTATGTCTTTGCCTTGGCTTTCCCTCTCCTAGAATGCAATCTCTTCTCACCTCCATCTATTAGAATCCTTTACTTCCAGACTCACCTCAAATGCCACCTTCTTCAAGAATCTGGATAGTCTACATATATCTATTGTTTGCCTTTATAACCCAGCTCAAAGGGCTTATTGATTGTGACTCTCTGTTGGAGATTGATTACTCAATGTCCCACACGTGTGTGTGTGGCAGGGGCAGCTGGAGCTGGTGGGAGCAGGAGAAGAGAGAGATCCTAGTCAGGGGTGGGGAACTGTAGCCTCGAGGCCACATGTATACTTCTAGGTCCTCAAGGACAGCCCTTTGACTGAGTCCAAACTTCCAATCCAATCCAATCCAAACTGAATCCAAACTTCACAGAACAATTCCTAAGGGGATTTGATCAAAGGGCCACCCTTGAGGACCTAGAGGGCCACATGTGGCCTCAAGGCTGCAGATTCTCCACCCCTGCTAGATTCTTCTGGTTTGTAGCTTCAGGAGAGAAGCTGACCATTCCACCTCTCTTGAGGTCCCTGAAGAGAGAGGAAAAATCCTGGGAAGAAGTCAGTATGTAAAGAAAGCTTCAGTTATGTCCCCATTCCCAGTTTGCTACACTAGGGACTTTGGGAAATTTTCTCCTTGGATGAGATCCGGATATATGTGTGTGTATGTCTGTCTGTCTCTCTCCCTCCTCCTCCTCTTCCCTCCCTCCTCCTCCTCTTCCCTCCCTCTCCCCATTCTCTCAGTTGAGCTGTGATATCTCTTCCAAATGGGAGAGCGCCTTCAGTCTGTAATGTCTGGTATATTTTTTCATATGTATACTTTCTCTGATTTCTGTTGTGCCACCAACATGGATAACTGGTTGATCTGCTTTGTGTGTTCATTGAGGAACTGGCCTTTGATGGGAAGGAAATTAAGTCTTGGATACAAAATTTGAGGCCTTTCTTCCCCATTAAGAAATACCTGTCAGGACCTATGGCTTGAATCTAAAAACTAAAGATCCTAGACTAATAATATTTCAGGGAGCAGATAGATATCTCTAGCCCAGGACCCTGCCCCAAGTAAAGCAGTGACTCTGGCCCCAAACCCACACCTTTTTTCCTGGCAGGAATCAAAGTCTCCCTTAGAAAAGGATATGGGGAGAAGTTGCTAGAGATATCTCTTTTTGCCTCCCTGCAAACCATATCTAGACAGACCCATGTGGACACACATAATCCATGTGGGCAGAAGAAAGCACCCACCACACATGACTCCCCTTGCTACACCTTTTTATCTACTCAATGTCTCTCTCATTAGAAGCTATGATCTTTGAGAATGGGGACTGTTGTTATCGCTGGCTCTTAGTATAATGGAAGAAAAATGGGATTTCTAGACCTGTATTTATAGATGCACACATCTCAGCACCTCCCTATCCTCTGTCAAGGCCTCTTGCCTGTCCCACAATTGGAACCATACTGCTTTTCTGTCTTCTCTCCCTCTAAATCATCATCATTATCACCACCATCAGGTCCAGGGTGAAAATAATAACCACTCAAACCAGTGAGAGGCCAGTGCATGGGCACAGGCCATGTTTATTTAGTGCCATCCTCCTACATTCATGTTGCCAGAACCTTTTGAGGTCCACCATCTACTCAAAACCACTGCTTACAAGCACCCATTTTTTCTCCAAATCTCCTTCAGACCATACAGAATTAAACAGGTGACATCACAGTAAGGCGAAAGAACATTTCCTTAAATCTGAATCCAAGGTAAATGACAAGGCATTAAATTAGGCAGCAGGCACTTCATCACCTGTTTTCCCAAACCATCTCCTCTGGCTCCTGCAGTGCCAGGAGGGTGAAACTTCCTTTGTCTTTATACTTGGAGCTACCTTATTGACACGGTGTCGCAAGCTAAGGAACAGAAAGGGCATAAAGACTTTCCAGTTGGCTGAGTACCAGAGCCTCAAGGTCCAGAGGAGCAGGAAGTCTCAACAGCTAAAGGGCATTACATCTCAGCACGCCTACTAGGAAGCCTTAAAACCTACAGCTGTTATTCTCCAGCACAATAATGATAGAACCTCAATGTCCCAATGTACTGCTGCCTAAGCTTGTGAAGGAACAGAATGTCCTCAGTGTTTAAAAGGCTAGTGTTGGCATGACCAACTTTTTCTGTTAGCAGTGGCATCCTCCTGGCTCAGAATCTAATTTCCTGAGTCTGACAGAGATTAAGTGATTTGCCCAGGATACCACAGCTATTTTGCATCATGGGTAGGATTCAAACTCAGGTCTTAGCTGGGTTGGCCTTCAGGATGCTCATTCATCTCTTTTTCCTCTTTCATTTGCTTACCCAGTTCTCTTTATATGAAATCAGAAGTTTCTTTTCACTGTCCCCTGTGCCTGGAATTCACTCCTTTCTCATCTCCACCTCTTAGAATCCACCTCCATCTCCATCTCTGTCAACTTGTGTCCTGATGTTCATTAGAGCTGTACAAAGTGACCAAGACTCCTCTATCTTAGGAGGTAGTGAGGTCACCATCACTAGAGGTATATAAACAGAAGAGGTTGGATGATCATCATCCTAGTGAGGTTTTAGAAGGGAGTGCTACATGTAAGTGCAAACAGGAGACCTGGGATCCCTTCCAGCTTTGAAGCTCCAAGTCTGTGTCACCAGCCTGGAAATAATTGCATGTACCTATATGAGATATAGAAAGAAAATGAATAGTATCTTTATGCTGCATCTCTGTTTTTTACTCCTCATCTCCTCTTCTGTCCTCTCTGCTCTGCCTCCCTCTCCCTCCCCCTCCCCTCTTCTCCCTTTCTTCTCTGCTTTCCTCTTCCCTCCCTGTTCCTCTACTCTCCCTTTCCCTCCTCTCCTCTCCTTTATTCTTTTCTTTCTTTCTTTCTTTCTTTCTTTCTTTCTTTCTTTCTTTCTTTCTTTCTTTCT